AGAATCAGACGCTCCAAAACCTCGCGCTTGCCAGACTGTGGGCTCTGCGCTCTGCGAGACTGTGGGCGGAGTTGCGCAGGCTGTGGGTTGTGCCATACGTCTGGATTCTGGACGCTTCAGACGCTCCATGGACGCTTCAGACGCTCCAAAACCTCGCACTTGCTAGACTGTGGGCTCTGGGCTCTGCGAGAATCAGACGCTCCAAAAACCTCGCGCTTGCCAGACTGTGGGCTCAGACGCTCCATGGATGCTTCAGACGCTCCAAAACCTCGCACTTGCTAGACTGTGGTCTCTGGGCTCTGCGAGAATCAGACGCTCCAAAACCTCGCACTTGCCAGACTGTGGGCTCTGGGCTCTGCGAGACTGTGGGCGGAGTTGCGCAGGCTGTGGGCTCGGGGCGCTGGCGCGCCGGAGCAGCCTCTGGATTCTGGACGCTTCAGACGCTCCAAAACCTCGCACTTGCCAGACTGTGGGCTCTGGGCTCTGTGAGCCTGTGGGCGGAGTTGCGCAGATTGTGGGCTCGGGGCTCTGGCGCGCCAAATACTTTTTTCTAGTGGCCCGAAACTGCCCTTCACACGTCTCAAACCTCTCAAACCCCTCAATCCCCTCAAACCCCTCGACAAATTGCCAATGGTTCTGCCATACTTCTGGATTCTGGACGCTTCAGACGCTCCAAAACCTCGCACTTGCTAGACTGTGGGCTCTGGGCTCTGTGCGAGACTGTGGGTGAAGTTGCACAGACTGTCGGCTCGGGGCTCTGGCGCACCAACTCCTTTTTTTCTAGTGGCCGAAACTGCCCTTCAATCCCCACTTGCTGGGCTGTGGCACACCATTTCCCTTTTTCTCATGGTCCGCAACGGCCTGCGCGGAGATCGTGCGTGTCGAGTGCGCGAAATGCAGGCGAGAGTGCGATTTGTCCGGTGTGCGCGCAACCCTCTGCGGAGATCGGGCGTGTCGAGTGCGCGAAATGCAGGCGAGAGTGCAATTTGCCGGCTGTGCGCGCAACCCTCTGCGGAGATCGCGCGTGTCGAGTGCGCGAAATGCAGGCGAGAGTGCGATTTGCCGGCTGCCCGCGCAACCCTCTGCGGAGATCGTGCGTGTCGAGTGCGCGAAATGCAGGCGAGAGTGCGATTCGCCGGGTGTCCGCGCAACCCTCTGCGGAGATCGTGCATGTCGAGTGCGCGAAATACAGGCGAGAGTGCGATTTGGCGGATGCCTGCGCAACCCTCTGCGGAGACCGTGCGCGTCGAGTGGCGAAATGCAGGCGAGAGGTGTGGAGTATCTGGGGAGCTGGGAGATGAGCACTGGTGACTTTGTAGTACAACTGTAGTACGCGGAGTAGCTGGGGAGCTGGAAGCTCAGAACTGGTGACTTTGTAGTACAACTTTGGTACGCGGAGGAATCTGTGGAGCTGGAAGCTGAGAACTGGCGACTGCGTAGTACAACTTTAGTCCGCGGAGTATAGCTGTGGAGCTGGAAGATGAGAAGTGGCGACTTAGCAATACAACTTTAGTACGCAGAGTAGCTGGGGAGGGGGGATGATGAGAACTGATGAGTGGGTAGTAGGTGAGAACTCGCGACTGTATAGTATAACTTTAGTACGCGGAGTAGCTGGGGAGCGGGAAGATGAGAACTGGCGAGTGGGTAGTACAACTTGAGGGCGTGGAGTATCTGGGGAGCTGGGAGATGAGCACTGGCGACTTTGTAGTACAACTGTAGTACGCGGAGTAGCTGGGGAGCGGGTAGCTCAGAACTGGTGACTTTGTAGTACAACTTTAGTGCGCGGAGGAATCTGTGGAGCTGGAAGCTGAGAACTGGCGACTGCGTAGTACAACTTTAGTACGCGGAGTATAGCTGTGGAGCTGGAAGATGAGAAGTGGCGACTTAGCAATACAACTTTAGTACGCAGAGTAGCTGGGGAGCACTATGTCCAACTTCGGTTGTTGCCTTCCTCGCCATGCTGCCTTGTCTCACAAAAAAGGGGTCGGCGGCACCAGGGCGGAGCCCTTACAATATAACCTTCTTTTGAGGCCTCCAACCTAATAGCGATGGCCTTCAACCTTGATATAACTGTATTGTATATTGCCTCGTCACACGCGATTTGCTTGTAATGAGAGGGGCATGTCAGGCATAGATATATCTACTTCGACTTAGACTTAGGTATCCTGAGGCTTCCTTTGGAAGGCGCTCCGTGTCTCTGACCATCAACACCTGTTTGACGGTCTTCCACATTACAGCACACCCACAACCACGGCCTCTGTTGCTTACCCTTCCAACACTCAAACATTGCCGATGCCACAAGAAGGGTCAATGTACATGTTGCGAAAACTGTGGAGAACAAACAAAGGGAGAGATTGAGGGCTTCCTCACAAATACGCTGTTACAAAGACTCGAGGAAAATAGGATGTGAATACAAAGCAAATGCTATCTGTTGCTATGAATGAATCTTTCAAGCAAGGGGTTTTGTAACTGACGTCGTAGACCAAAAACGTCCTGAGACAAGGACCAGCTGCTCAAAGCGATCCAGCCTTTGCGTCTCAGGAAGACCAATAACAACTACCGTTCATGCGGAGAAGGAAAGAACAACCCACTCTCTGCAACTTCATCTAGGAATCTAGGTTCTGCGGCCAAGCGCTGCGCAGTTGCCTCTGCACGAACAAGAAAATGGGCTGGTCCTCAAGGGTACAGCAGTACGGGTATGACTATGACCCACACAAACGAATGAGCCATTGCCACAGGATTCTTTGAGGGTGCTTCTGAAGTTCTTGTTCTGTTTTGCTAGAGCGGTAATATCACACAGAATGTTGGCCTTTAATGGTGCCCGGCTACCATTTCTTCACAGCCGATAAACACGAAAGAAAGCAGTCCATGACTCCGAGGATGGGCTTTCGGAAGTGTTGGTACAGCTGACACCAAAAGATTGGTATGGAACCTCGGTTGTGCTGTGAGTCAGTTTCCCGGAATATTTTTGTACCAGGCACTACTACAGGGAGCATGACACCTTGAACTGATAGCAAACATGTGCTTGTCTTCTTGCTGGTGCGAAGTTCTACAGGCGAATCTAGAGTGTCAGCGGAATCAACAACTGTCCCAACAACATCCAACAACTATATAAACTGCAGCAGACGTTGGGGATGCAGTGGTTGTACTAATTGTATTTGACATTGACATAGGTGTTTGACATTGACGGAGACTTCCTAAGCCTGGCTGAACCTAAATCTCTGTTGCTGGTTCCTCAGGCCACAGCACAAGAAGGCATCCACAGTGCGCAAGGGACTACGGAACCTGAGAGACATCGCAAGCATGGTCTCTATTGCTTCCCAAATATCATTGACGCTGTGATGCAAAGTAAGTCAGACAAGGCAGCCCTTTGCCAATCCAAGACCCTTTGTATTTGAATAGAATGTCGGAATGATGCAATGTCACTCCCAACTGAGAAAACAGCAAATGGTAGAACTCTCGCGCAATGTGGTCTTAGCCGGCAATCAAACCACAGAGTAGTAGCATTGCGGGAAGTTTGGGCAAATACATGACCAAACATGTCATATGGCCAACAGTTTAGACGCTCCATAGTTTTTGAAAGAATTGCCGCAGCCTAGCTTGACATGAACATGAAGGCTGTTTGTTGAAGAAGCGTAACTTGTACCTCTGCCTCAATATCACACAACAAAGCCTCTATTATTGCTGGCTCTTGAAGGCTTGCTTTTCAATCGTTGAGCAACACGCTCGGAAAAGAACAAATGAGCAACAGGATCTTCTTAAATGCACATGATTCATGCAATTCTCTCCTTGACTCACAGAAACTCAGTGGGAAAGAGCGGAAAGGAAACTTGCTGACTTGAAGGTTCTGGCATGTCTGGCCCGGTTGCGGCGCATGTGCCAGTTGAAAGGTGATTGTGGGTTTCATAAAGTTTTCAAGAAACACTTCCGTTACGGAATGCAACTCAGGGTTTGAGTAATACAGTGGCAGGGCTGCACCAGGCTGCATTGGCACTGGACTTTGGGCTCCAACTTGCAGAGATTGCAACAAAGTTTCAAAGCGGCTGGAAATTCTGGAAGGGGGGATTCTAGAGGAAAGTACACGAAGCAATTATAAGTGACGAACAAGTCGAGGTTTCAACAGACTACATAGAAAAGTATTGATCTCTTTAGAAATTGGAATAGAACCAACTTGCATAGCCTCAATTTAAAGAAAACTGTCAAGGAAAGTAGAGACGACAACTCGAGATTTCCACGTAAATAATATAGAATGTAGAGATTCCTAGAGAATAGGATAGACAAGCATCAAGATCAGGTGTCCGCGCCCATGTCCCGACCAACATTTTCCACTTGTTCGAAGCCATCCAGGAAACCAGCACCGGGACGAATTTCGTAGATTCTGGCACAAGGCTGTCACTGTGACCAACAAAATTGTCCAAAACAACTGATGTGGTCTGTTGACTCTAAGCCTGCATATTGTCCACTGAATCGAGAGACTGAAAACCACAATTCTGGAAAATACAGTCCATACATATAGTATACAATAAGAAATATAACCATATATATAAGAAATATAACCATATATATAATTGTGTTTCCTCTTTCTTTACCCTTCCGCTTACATGGTTTTGCTCGAAAACAATGGTTTTTGCAGGCAAACTCCTTGCAGGCGGAAATTGGCCAACGATGTGTGGCTTGAGAATTTAATCTTTGAGCATCCAGGTTTGGTCCTCTGCGATGTTAACATACGCGTTCCGAAAATGAGCATAAGGCAACAAACAAGATGGAACCCACGAACCCGAATGCAAACACGATCCATATGCCCAAATGACACTCTTGTAGGACATGAGTCACTCTTACGGGGCACTTTTGTAAGACACTCTTGTGGGACACTCTTAAAGGACACTCTTGCAGGTCACTCTTATGGGACACTCTCTTGTGGGACACTCTTGTGTGACACTCTTGTAGGAAACTCTTGTGGGACACTCTTGTAGGACACTCTTGTGGGACACTCTTATAGGACACTCTTGTGAGACACTCTTGTGGGACACTCTTGTAGGACACT